GAGGTTTCTTATTTTCAATTAACCCGTTTGCATTTCTAAAAACAGTCGTATTGTTCAAGTATCATTACCAATATTTTCTTTTATCCCTACCATGGATAATAAAAACAAATAAAATGATAATTATAGACAAATTATTATGGTCCTTCGTCTTAATTACTTGTCGTCCGTGCAAGCACGCGGAAAGTCAGATTTAAACGAGTCAAACGGAGACACACTGCTAAGCGCCGATTTATTTTTGCTCCCTATTCCGATAGACTGTTGAGGATGCGTTTATTTTTGGCGCCAGTCATAAAATTGCTAAGAAGCAAACAAGGATCTTCCTTTTCCTCATCCTCACAAGACTTGAGCAGAAAGTTTCAGATCCTTCGAGAGAATTTCTCAAAACTCTTTTAGTTTTCCAATCCGATACAATACGTGAAATATTAATTGAAAGGAATTTAAAAAAGAAATGTTATATATATATATATCATTATTTTTCCATGAGTCGATATAGTCGAGAGATTCCTCATAAATAATGACTTTCCTCGTAAAATTGGATCGATTTAGGGGCATAAATATAGATCATCGAGAGTTCGATAAGCTCGCTCGTACTCGTTTCGATATCTTTTTGGAGAGTAGCCAAAAGGGTGTACCGCGCGCAAAGCGCGTGCCGAAGATCCTCTCGACGATGAAATCATAAGACGCCATGAGGTAACGGAAAGAAGATCATCTCATCTATTGTATGACATGAAACAATTGAAAAATATGATTTCAAGGGGGAGAGGGGAGCAAAAAACAACGACCTATTAACAAATTCACATTCTGTATTTAATCACAGATTAAAAATTTCACTTATTTAGGCATATTAAAATTGTAATGAAGAAAAATTATGTGAACGATCGTATATTTCAGTTTATTCTTGTACATTAATATTTCTCTGACATATACAGCAAGCGCACTTGACATTCTCCAATTTCGTACAAGTTACATTATACAAGTTTCACGGTATAAACGAAAAGATCTAATTGATCGTTCTATTATAGAAATTATTGTCAAATTAATTGGCATATATCTATCTAATCTAATAGATACCGATTTATTCATCCAGGGTTATTCGTTTCTAAGTATAGAATTTAGCCGCATCGAGTCGACAGCGACGGTGGCGGCTAACCAACGACGAGTAGAACAGATCTCAGCGTTCTTTGCTTTCCGCTCGCGGAAATAAAACAGTGCTTCATCGGATCCGCTCGTATAAGATAGATAAAGTTGTCGATAATATTGTGATTGATAACCAAAACCCCCTCTCCCACCCCTTACATTATTCAACCTAAATCTTATTTTATTTGTTAACCATTCGTTCGTTCTTAGTTTCGATCTACTATTACCTATCTCTTTCACAGCAAGACTAAAAACCTATCCGTAGAAGACTCCCGACAACACACGTTTTTGACCACGTTTACTATATGTCCGTTTGCGTCGTTAAAAAAAGAAAAGGACCGTTGAGGAGAGGGGTAGGAAGAAAGAAAGAAAGAGGTAGATAGAGAATAGGAGAGGAATACGTGGGTCCGTGTTACGTAGTGGACATAATAAACCGAGTCGAGCGTGGGTGTCTTTTTGCTTCTCAGGATTACGTAATCTCGTCTCTTTCTTCTGCTTACGTCAGTAATCTCGAAAATCGCAACACGAAGAAGAAGAAGAAGAAGAAGAAGAAGAGGAGGAGGTGGAGGAACAAGAGGAAGAGGAAGATGGACGAAGAAGATCTTCCGTTTTGTATTTACCGATTCGATCTTTGGATGATAAATCGTCAAAAACAAATGATCGAATTTATTATGCCACGTGATAAATTCATTTGGAAAAATACATCTTGATGTATTTATAGAATTATTATATTATATACATATATATTTGAAAAAGTTGACATATCTCGATGCTAATGGCTATCATCGCGATCATCTAAAATCTAAGACTGAGTTCTTCGTTAAGCCAGAAATTGAACTTGGAAAGGTAGCATCAAATGTTAATAGAAACGATCTTGTGCCAATAAAATGATTTCGCGGAGTGTTGAACCGATTTGATGATCGTTGTGTAATAACTCATCGTATATAAAGGATTATTATTGAGAAATCTCCCTTTTGTATCTTTGATCTTTATCGAAGTAAGAGATCGGTTAGATAAGATATATTTTAACGATCATCGAATGGCATGTACGAGTAGAGTAATCGAGTAGAGTAATCGAATCGAGAACATTTCAAGTAAAGGAGGAAAAAATGGGGTTACTTTTGTCGGTGCTCGTTGGTTGCGTTGGAGTCCTTGAATTGTTAACGTGTCTTAATCGAGCATCCGATCGTTCGATTATTCGGATCGATCCGCCGACAACTTGTTTGTCTTATCACGATCGTCCTAAAGGTGGATTTACCGCTCACGATTCCCTCTGCGGTATCGGTCATTCGAAAGATCTCGATTTATCTTCTGGCGCCAAATATAAGTTGGAAAACCTTCATGAATACAGTTTGAGAATAAGAAGTGAAATTCGATCGATAGATCCAACTTTTGACGCCAATACACTTTCCGATTGCAGTACTGCCGATCTTCTTACTAAATCCGAATCGAAATTATTTGATCCCGATTTCGAACGTCTCTTTCACGAGGTCAACGAACGTACAGAGGTTACTGCAGCTACGTTTGCCGAACAATCGGAAGGATACTTTAATGTACCGACACCTATTTCTAACTTTACATCTACTGAACTATTGAACAACGAATCTGAGATATTTTTTGACGAAAATCTTTTGGAAAAACGAATAACTACGAAATCATTTGATGTATCACCGATTAGAGATACAGCGAGGTACGAAGAGAATTCTTCTTCATCCGGTAACGAATCAGATGACGAAGATGCGTCGATTTTAAGGAGACCCATTCTAAAGTCGAAATCACCGGACGTTTCTACGAAATCGGATTACATTGACTTGGCAGAAAGTGAAATAGAAGTTGACAAACATCAGCAGTCATTGAAGAAATCTAAAATCAAGCAATCAACTTCTACTATCGTACGAAAAGCAACGAGATTGAAATCTAAGAACACCGAGATCAGTAAATCCGCGGAAAATCTTAGTACAAAGAGATCAAAGAGATTACGCGAACCTGAGAGACGTAAATCAGACATATCTGTTCAAACGGTACGCGATCTTTTAAAAGACGAATGGACAAACACGTCACCTCCTGGTAGCCCGAGTCTATCTAGATCGGAAAGCAAGAGAAGTGTTTCTGTAGAAGTACAAACGAGTTTTGATGAGAAATCATTTGTCGAGGAACTCGAAACGGAGGAATTCCAAGTGGAGAATCATCCTGTTTTAGGTTTGTCAGAAAGCAAACGAGACTATGATTCTCGTGAGAAACGTGCTAAGAGTTCTTTTAAACGTAGAAGATTTAAATCAACGTCTACCGAAACTACGAGTACAGAGGATTGTCCTGATAGTCATGTCGCAGAACGTGCCATAACTTCTGTAGAAAAATCTTATAAGCAGGATCAATCGAGTTCCTTGAAAATCTCCACTTTCGAGGATGCTAGAAGAGACGATTACGAGAGGGTCAGGGATATCATTTTAGAGTCAGAGTCAACAACCCAAAAGGATGATAGGGGGAGAGGGAATAAGGAAAAAACAATTTTATTCGTCAAGTCGATGTCCTCTTTCGAGGACGACGAGGAATACGTCAGCGCGGAAGACGTGAGTTCAACCCACGGAAAAGGACACATTGAATACACCACACCTGACACCGATCGGAACAAAGCTTTCTGGGTAATCCGATGAGTATAGTTTGAGAGTTCACGAGAAAGAAAAGTCTCATCTCGAATTTCACGAGAGAATCATTTTTGTTCGTCCTATGAAACATCGCGATATTTGGAAATACAGCAACCCACTATTTTACCAGCATCGTTTCTTTCTCGGTCGCGTTCATGGTCGCAGTTGGTGGGCGAATTCACGCCTACACTCGTCATATGATTTCGTGTACTCGATCGAAATAACAAATTTTCTCGTAGATATTTTGTCATTAAATTCTAATTCATGAAAATTAGTTTTGAAGCATTGGTATAGTATGTAAGATAGAAAAATTCGAATACGCATACGTAGACACATGAACATTTGAAAGTTTCTTAAAGACATAACAAGATAAAATGTAAATGAAAGAATTTGATGGAAAGAAAAGGTATTTAATATTTGTACGAAATGGTCGCGTTTATTGGGTGCCTACTTGCGGCGTTTATTGGTGCCGTGTGCCTCGTGTAGGGTCTCCCAAAATATCAATCTCATACTCGTCTGCAAATAATATACGTATATATCGCGCAAGCATAGAGCTCGACATTTACACGAGGATACTGCCGCCATTGCCTCGACATCGTCGCCATCTCCAACAAGAATTTCATCGACGAAACTTCTTTTCTTTTTCTAAAATATATTTTTAATTCGACCTACCTCTCCTTTGCATCTCTCTCTTTCTCTCTGCTTTTGCTTTTTCTTCTTCATCTTTTTCTTTTTCTTCATATTTTTATTCTCCATTGGATGTCCAGATCGGATTAAGTTACACGACGTCGTCGTCCTCCTCCTCGTATTTGGATTTTATCTCGTATTTAAAAGTTATTTTGATAAATTTCTGAAACTCTCTCTCTCTCTCTCTCTCTCTCTCTCTCACGCGGTTGTTCCTTTATTTTCTTTTTCAAAAGTCATTCAATTTTCAAGTTTATTGTTCCCTCATCCTAGTCATAACAACGAACGAGCCGCTTTTTAGATAAAATGAGTCGATAAAAAGTTATAGAAGAATTTGAAAAGAAGTTAAAAACAGTTAACAACAAATTTGCGTGGGTGGATGATGTGGAAGTTATTGGTGATGTGTGAAACATTCCGACCCAATTACCCGTATTTACTTCTTTTTCTATATTTTAAACGTGATTCTATTTTCCGCCCACTTCGCCCTCTCAACGGAGGAGTCGAAGAACCACCTGTTTGGCAAACGATCAAAATGTCGCGCTAGGGTTGAAGATGTGTTCTACGAAAACTTTCTCAACGATAAGATTTGGACGAAACTATTATCGTTAAATTTAGATATCGTTCGTTCTAACTTGTTTTCTCTTTTTTTACATTTTATTCATCGAAAAGAAGTAACACGTTATATTTATTTCATTCGTAAATATCAAATGACCATATATTTAAATTATCATTTGAATAATAAAAGAATTCACAAGATTATCCCGAATAGACGATTACGATTTCGTATATTTTTCCATTGATACTTCCGCCGTGTAAACGCAAACCAGATGCGTGCAAGAAGCAGTTTATAGCAACTGAGCGAAGTTACATATCGACAGACACCATTAGAGCAGCTTGCTAGATCTATTTAGAATGATTTTCTTGATCGGTATGCGAGGATACGAAATGAACATATCTAAAAAAAAAAAATAAAAAAAAAAATAAAAACATCCAAGCGAAAAAATGATCTTAGATATGAATGAAACGTTATTCAAAAAGTATTGCCAAAGTAAAAATAAACAAAAGAAAAAAAAATACAATAAAATAATAAGGTTGACACAAATGTTGAGGGCTATGACCTAAAGAAAAAGATTATTACGGTCAAGTTTTATATTATTGTTAGATAGAAACAGAGACGAATTGAAAGAGGTAGAGAAAGGTAATGAGAGAAACACATATCGTAGAAAAGTTGCACCCGGCACACTGCACCGAGGATTGGTAGGAGCGTCCGGCCAGTGATGGAAGAGAAGAAAAATAAGATGAGAAGGAGGAGGAAAGAGGGAAGCGCGCGGCGTTTTCTGGAGTCGTCGGGACGCTATTTTCGGCGTCCCGATATGATGACGCCCGGAGCAAGCCGATCCTAGATTTCAGTCAGTTCGCAAGCTCGAAAGCTGCTGGGCACGAAACGAACGATCTCGCGACTCGCGACTTTCGATTTGATTTTCACGATCACGAGCGACGAACCCTACTAGATTAAATTTATATAATTAATATTATTCATTAATTTCTTTATTATTTCTGACGACGACGACGACGACGACGTTGTTGTTGCTGTTATCCCTTTCGTTTTTTCTTCAAAATCCGATTTCTATATTTTCTTATATTACCAAATTTTCTACGTTTGAATTTTCATTAGGGAAAGCTTCCAAAGTATACATAGAGTTTGATCGGAGATAGAAAAGAAAAGGAAAGGGTACAAAGTAAAAGAGAGAAGAAGAAGAAGAAGAAGAAGAAGACCAGGAAGAAATTTAAAATAAAATAAAATTTAAAAAACAAGGAATAAGAAAAAAAATAGGATGGCGGACGTAGACAGTGTAGTGTATTCGACCACCGAGCGAAAGGTTCGCAAAGTGAAGAAGACGACAAAACGTAGGGAGAGCCACGATCAGAACGCCGAGGTCACGATCACCGAGATCGACAGCACGCAGAACAATCATCATGCCATCGAAGAGTATGTGCTGGCTGATGATACACCCTGATTTCAATTCTTTTATCATTACCCTTTACGATTTCTTATAATTTATTTCTCGCGAACCCTTTTTTCTCTTTTTCTTTCATCACATTTTCACATTTTCGAACAAAGTGTTGTTTTGTTTTATTGCTTATCCCTTTTAAAATAAATAATCGATTCATTTCTAATCAATTTTGATCGCATACGAACAACATATAAGTATTAACTTTTTCTGTTCATCTATCATGACTTTTTCCTATATAACTTTTGTCCACCTTCAATTGAAAATCACGTTTAACGTTTCTTTGATGTTTGCAAAAAGACCAAAAATATACTAAAAAAATATCTAATTACTATTATACTTGGTATTTTTTATACCTTTGCAAAAAATTTCAACGAAATTTTCGTACAAACATACTCAGCCAGCACATACGAAGGCACTTAATCAAAGGTACATACATACATACATACTATACATACTATACATACTATACATATATACATATACATAATTAGAAGAAAATTATAGCGTTGTCGAATGTTCCAAAGTCGTAAATGTTTCCGGTGATTGTAAACGTGTTCGCGTTGACGAAAATAATGTTGACGAATAATTTTGTTTGTAAAAAGTAATAAAATATAAAACGAATAAGAGAGAGACAGAGAGAAAGAGAGAGAGAGAGAGAGAGAGATGTGATAAAACTTACGTCATAGTATAAGTTAATTCGCTTATCTTCATAAATTCGGCACTATCAATGATCGAAAAGGTCGATTAGGTTATTCTCGTTCATCGTTGTTTAGCAGTGGAATTTTGTAGGATTTTAAACGTCATACATTAAGAAGAAATTAGTAAAACAACAAAAAATGTTCAATACCAGATACTTACAATTTACATGCTATATAAAACAATCACAGATAATGTCACAAATAATATTCCACAGAAAATAAAAATGAAAACTTCACAGATTTACACGGATTTAATTAAATGTCACGAAAAAAGAAAAAAAAAAAAAAGAAAAAAAAAGATACGAATGCAATAAATTAACGAATCGTTAATTTTGTTCTTTGCAGTTGATTTTCAGTGGCGAGTATACGAAGGCGATGAACAAGGACTGGCACAGCGGGCATTTTTGTTGCTGGCAGTGCGACGAATCCTTGACAGGACAACGTTACGTTCTCAGGGACGAACATCCTTACTGCATCAAGTGTTACGAGAGCGTTTTCGCCAATGGCTGCGAGGAATGTAACAAAATCATTGGTATTGACTCGAAGGTGAGAACACACACATACACACACATAGAGAGAGAAAGAGAAAGAAAGATAACTTTCGTATCACCTCGGTGTTCTTTGCTTCTTGTCTCTTTTTTACGTCGCAATTAATGCGCAAAGGACAAGGACGACGAGCAAGAGTGAGTGTGCAAAAGAGATAGAGATAACAACTGTTAACGAGGATGATTCAATCATTGATGACGTCACTAATGTCGTCTCTTTTTTTTTAAAGAGAGAAAAACAGAGAGTTAAACATAAATTATTAAATAACATAACAGGAAAGAAGGATGCGTGACTAAAAACAATAACTATTATCCGATCGGTAACAAAGTTAAGAGTAAAAAAGAAGTCACGATTTAACAAGGACCGAAGAAATAATAGTAATAATAATAATAATAATAATAATAATAATAATAATAATAATAATAATAATAATTGTTTGAACGGAAACGTCAAAACTTTAAAGCCAAACGTAGGCGTTAATAATTCGTTCATTTCTCGAAATAGAAGCAACTTATTGTTAGTCTTATTTTACGTCTCACTTTTGTATATTTCTTCCTCTCAACAGACGAAGAATATGTGATGCAATGAAATATTTATTAATAAATTAAAAAATAATTTTTTTCATTTTTTCATTTCGTAGGATCTTTCGTATAAGGACAAGCACTGGCACGAGGCTTGTTTCCTTTGCAACAGGTGCAGAGTATCCTTGGTGGACAAACAATTTGGAAGCAAGGTGGATAAAATTTATTGCGGCAACTGTTACGACGCTCAATTTGCTAGCCGTTGCGATGGATGCGGTGAAATCTTCCGTGCTGGTACGTTTACAATAATATTATATTTCGATATTTTTATAAATAACGATCCATCGATCGTATGCGACCTTTAGGTCACAAAATGATTTGCGACATTGGATACGATCGAAGGAAAAAAAGAGAGAGGCGATACGTATCCCCATATCCCGTAAGGTTAATCTTATTAAGGTAACCGAGTCAAGGTTCTTAAACACAAACATGAATCGTGATGATAATCGTACATAGTCGAAAGAGTCCTTACACTCCTACGCTTGTATACCAACTTATTCGTATGCATAACGCTTAAATCCATATACAGAGAAACAATTGTCAAAGAGACATTGAATTATATTTCGTCAAAATGATTTTTTCTATTTACTCCAGATATTATTATTATTATTATTATTATTTGAATATGACTATAAATTAATTTTCAAAAATAATTACATTAAATCTACCTACGATCCTTTTAAGAATCCATATAAGAAGTATTAATTTTCTCGTGTAAACATATGTTATTATTCATATACGATTGCTATTATATTATAATCCGATTGAGATCGTCCCTATCTATTTCATCGTATCAGTATTTAAATTGTTTAAATGATAAGATAACAATTGATAAAGATTTTTTCTTTCTTTCTTTCTTTCTTTTTTTTTTTTTTCTTAAGTAACGGATAAACATCGAGTGTCGAGTAGTAAAAACATTGTTTTAAAAAAAATAAATAAAGTGTTGTGGTTTATACGAGATATTATATGGATGAAAGGAGGAGGAAGGGATAGGATTGAATTTTCTTTTTGGAAAGTGAAGTTATCATCGCTAAAGTGTAAGAAGTTAAAGTTTGCGCTTGCTCACGAGTTGCTACGGTGACTCCAGGAACCCAACGACGACTACGACTACGACGACGACGACGACGACGACGACGACGCAGTGGTCTTGCCCTCTCAGTGGCTCAGAAACCTTCGGGCTAATCGCACGGCTCGATTCCGCTACCAATACAATTCGCAGTTATCCACGAGCGAGCTCTAGCAGCAGTGCTTCTTTTAAATCTTACGCTTATCTCATTCCACCTCTTACAAACGAACCGGTTTTCATCTCATACACAATCTTTTAACTTCTTCTAATAATAAACGCGCGTATTGCTGCTATTCGTTAACAAAACGGTGCTGTGCGTGTAACTTAACAATTCGGAAGGAAAACAAAAATACACGAATAGAAAAAGACTTGATCTTCGATATTTTGAAATCTCCCGAAGAAAAGGGGAAAAAAAGTTCAATTAAAATAACAACATCTGAAAGAGAATTAGATGACGTACGAGATAATTTGTTTAGATCGTGAAAAGGCACGTGATTTGACGTGAAGATTGACACCTACGTATACAACAAGCGTGTCCAATTTAATTCTATTAAAACGAGTTATCATCGTCTTTTTCTCCAAGTGTATTTTCCAAACAAATTCGCTTCTGATCGATATAGAAGGAAAATGGCTACCGACACGTTGAGCGAAAGATTTTCGAGTAAACTTCATTTGCAAACTAAAACTGTCGGCGAGGAAAGGATTAGAAGGGCTAAAGAAAATGACGAGGATGTTGCCATACTCAGCATGTTTCCTTTGGAAGGTGATGCTAAGTTTAGGTGTTATCTTGGAAAGGATTGTCTTCTTGGAGATCAGAAATTAGCTGATCCAGGTGATTACCACTACATTTTAATTTTTTTTTCTTTTCTTTTTTTTTTTTTTTACAAAAATCTTACTTGACATTTTATTTTGTATATCATAGTTGTTATATCGATTAGAAAAAGAGAAAGGACAATGATCGTGGGTTGAATATGTTTATGTATAGTTTGCATGTTACCTAGTAGGATACACAGTAGGATATTATGTATATAGATAAAGATGGGGGACGATTTGGAGTCACGATGGCAACACAGGTGGTGGCAATAGTAATCACGAAAGGAAAAAAGTAGAGCGAGACGATGGAGCCTTTAAACGTCACCTTATCGGGAATCACGAGTACTCAATCGTGCAGCAAGCATGATGTTAACGAATGCGCTTGCTTGTCTCTTAATGAATACTTTCATAAGTTCGTTTTAATTTTTAGCAAAGTAGAGAAAAATTGTTGAAAAAATATTCGAAGGAAAAAAGAAAAGAAAGGAAAAGAAGGAGTATTGATATTCACAAGCTATGAGATAATCGTTGCTTAGGTATAAACATTTCCTGTATGATTTATCACACATCGATACTGATGAATTATTATATTTCTTCCTTTCATATTTCTTTTTTCTATTTTTTTTTTCTACTTCTAAATTATGCGAATCGACTAGGAGAAATCTGTTCGATCTTGAATACATTAAATATTATTATTTGATTACATTATATAAATATCGATGGTAATTTGTTGCGTAATCTAGTATATGAGATAATAGATATTTTAAGTATAAATTTAAAAAACGAAGTAAGATAAAAAAAAATGATATTCAAGGATATATATTTAATATCGTTTTCTACACACAATCGACTAGACTGGAAATGTGAAAAAAAAGAAAAAAAGCTTTTAATACAACCTAATCTTTTTCTTCCTTTTTGTTTTTTATTGGCCATTCATAAATTATTTATCCAAATCGATAAGACTCTCGATAGCATTATATTAATATGCGTGATGTCACCTTAAAATGGTTCTTCTATGTCGTTTGCAGTTTATACACGACACGACCTTACTTCTTATCGATTCATATGCTTCATTGAGTATTTTTTCCCCATTTACGACATAATATTCCAAATAATATCGCCAAATAATATAGTCGTCCTATTATTTTAAAGCCACGCAAAAATACGCGATGTTGTTACAGGTCAGGATATTTTATTGATAACCTTGAAAAACGTTTTATATTAATCGTGAAAATGTTCTCTCGTATTTGTCTTTCTTTTTTTCTTTTTTTTTTGGGATAATACTGTATGTATTTTATTAGATGATGACTCAAACTGAGTCAACTTCTCAATTTATCGGTCGATTTGTGGTAATAATTAATCACTTCGCGCAAAGGAACGAGTATAGAATCGCATAATTTCAATATTGAATAGAACAAACATACTTTATAGAACATGCTTTCATTAATCTTTCATTTATCTAATCTCTCTGTTTTTTTTTTTTTTTTTTTTTAATAAAGTTATTTTTCGTTTAAAAAGACCGCGATCATCATCTCATCGTTGCAACTAATCACGCTAAGCTAATAAGCCGTGTAACTTAGAATTATCGTTAAACGAATAAACATAGTTAAAGCAACATTGAATAACGAAAGAAGACGAACTAAGATTATGACGACTACGACACGATGCGTACCTATATGGATTGCCACATCTGCAACCTTGGACCCATCAGACTTTGTACATATACGGAGGCATTGCTTGTCCATCGTGACGTCACGAATCGTTTCTTGAGTCACGCTGGACCAAGAGATTTACGAAAAATATGTCACGATATCTGTATCATTGTATCTTTTTTTTTTTTTCTTGTCTTCATTGATTCATATAATATATTCTTTCTCGTATATTTTAACGAAATTAAACCTATTATTAATGGATTATAATTTAAGGGAATTATACACGAGGGTTAAGAGAAGCTTTGTATTCAAACGATCAAGAGAGAGAGAGAGAGAGAGAGAGAGAGAGACAAATTATTACGTTCGCTTATATACCTTTCTACAGGCCACGTGTATTTTTTGCATAAATTAGAATTTAAAAGAGAACAGTACTTGTTACTGTTTTTTTTATTTATTTTTTTCTTTTTAACAGAATGCAATTTTCTCTCAAATCGTTCTTTGAGTTGCGTTTAAAGGAGACATTTGAAATAAGAAAGTGGATATGTGTTGTATTATGCTTTCCTATATCGTAAAACGGAATATTAAAATTCACTGGGCGCCGCACGCAATTCCACGTGACATTTAACATCAGTCTAGACTATAGAAGGAAGAAAAGGGATATTTACCGTTGCACCCTCGAAAGCTAGCCCACGGGGCTTTTCCTCCTCCTCCTCCTCCTCCTCCTCCCATTCATTTGATCGATCGATACGATACGATGCGATGATACGTTTGCGAGTTAAGAAACAATAGTCTTTCAAATATTTATCGTTTTCGTGACTAGACAATGGCGGCTTGCTGCACCTGGTGGTACCAATCGTTGTTTTATCTTTCTTTCTTTTCATTTTATTTTTTCAGGCACGAAGAAGATGGAATACAAAACCAGGCAATGGCACGAGAAATGTTTCTGTTGCGTAGTTTGCAAGAATCCGATCGGTACGAAAAGTTTCATCCCTAGGGAACAAGAAATTTATTGTGCCGGTTGTTACGAGGACAAGTTTGCCACTCGATGCGTCAAATGTAACAAGGTTGGCCTTCAATGGTTTTTCACATCTTATTTTGGGTAACATGGGGGTGCTTTTTGTCTTCATGTTTTTTTTTTTTAATTTTTTCTATAGATAATCACCAGTGGCGGAGTGACATACAAGAACGAACCCTGGCACAGGGATTGCTTTACTTGCAGCAACTGCAATAATTCGCTGGCAGGCCAACGATTTACGTCGCGCGATGACAAACCTTACTGCGCTGATTGCTTCGGCGAACTTTTCGCCAAGAGATGTACCGCTTGTTCCAAACCAATCACCGGTATACAAATTACATAATTTGTTTTTTTATATTTGATCTTTATCCTAATAAATTTCATAATAAATTCTAATGAATTTGATTGATTTTGGAATGAATTTTAAAGGAATTGGAGGTACTCGTTTCATTTCGTTCGAGGACAGACACTGGCACAACGAATGCTTCATCTGCGCTGGTTGCAAAACTTCCTTGGTCGGCCGTGGCTTCATCACCGACGGCGACGACATTATCTGTCCTGAGTGTGCCAAGGCGAAGCTAATGTAACGAGGAAAAGGTTTGGACGGTGGGAGAAAGGATGGGGAGAAGGTGGAGCAAGCAAAAGAAAGAAAAAGAAAGAAAGAGAACGGAAAGGGTGTAGAGTGGTAGTAGAGGAGTGACAGAGAAAGAAAGAAAGAAAGAAAGAAAGAAAGAAAGAAAAAGAGAGAGGGAGAGAAAGGTTGAACGAAAGAGGTGGCATCTCGATAAATCGAAAGCAACGAACTTTTTAACAACTATTAGGTCAATAAGCATGAAAACGTTCGATTACTCCGAATCATTTCATTTCGAGATAAGACATTTCATGTTTAATGGCTTGATATAATATCCTTCCTATGATTTTCACAAATTTCCTTATATAACACTTCCCCTTCCTCCCTTGTCCCACATCAACCTCTCCTCGCTCGATCATAAACGATCCTAATTGATTCTAAATGATCCTACCTCGAAGAGATAGATTCTTTTGCTTTTTAACTTGTGCTTTTTTTTTTTTTTTTAGAAGCACGTATTTATGCATATGTATAATATGTATATATTATGTGTACATATATATTTATATGTGTATACGTATGTATATGTATATTCATATGAACAACGCACAAATTACCAACACATACAAAACAAAAATGTTAACGCGCGTTCGTACGCACACACACACACACACACACACACACACACACACACACACACACACACACACACACACACCACACGTTTACTATGCGCTTTCGTACGCGCGTATTAAATACATACATTGGTAAATGCACTTACACGATTTTTATACACGGTTATAAGAATTATTT